TCAGATGCGGCGTGCATGCAGGCAGGCAGGGCAGGTCAACGATGTATAAGGATCGTTGAGCTAGGTGAGAACGTGGCCGTCTCGGGAAAGTCATCTTGATTTTGATATTTGGGGAATTCTGCCGTCTCGTGAGAGTCATCTTGAGAAATCCTATTTGTGAATTTCTGAGGCCGCGAAGATTTCCATCCGCTCGTCAATTCACGTTTTTTTTTCCGATGCTTCCACGATTACTGGCAGTTAAAAGCCGGAGCTTTGTCGGGGGTGGACAGGACCCCCACACTGACACGTCGATTAGTGAATTGTCCGTTTCGGTTCTCGAGAGGGGCGCCGCGGCCGTCTTTTTCCAGGCCTGCGCCCGCCAGGTCTGGGCACGACGTCGTTTCCACTAGACCACGTTTTACTAAAGGGGGTGTTGTCCATCCCCGACTTTGTCTCATCTCGAGATCGTGTGAGCCTCCCTGCCCTTGGCACCGCTCGGACGTGTGCAGTTTCTTCTCGGCGAGGACCATCGAAGAGCAGCTTGGATAATCTTTCGAAGAAAACACGCACGAAACCGAAAAACGCACGGGGAATGGACGTCCGAGCGATGGCAAGAAAGGGTTTTTTTGTCCATCCCCGACTGTGTCACCCGGCCTTCTCAGAACACCTGGCCTTCTGAGAAGTTTTCTGAGCCTTCCCCGGAGACAGAAAAAAACCTCTCAGAAGGAGCGCGAGGACTTCTGAGAAGTCCCGCCGCCTTCTGAGAAGGCCTTTTCCTTCTCACGCCCCCCCCTCGCTCGCCGCCAACCTATACCTCTCACGACTCAGGATGCGCTGTATCGCTTGTTCGGAGGTTGATGGACCTCCTGCCGTGACACGTCGATTAAGGAATTGGACGTTTTCGGTTCGCGAGAGGGCGTCGCGGCCGTCATTTTTTGCGGGTCCAGGTCCGTCGGTTCCGGTCCCAGGCCGTCTTCACTAAGGGGAGGCTTACTAAAGGGAGGTTTGTCCACTGCCGAGAGTTGCTTCCTGTGGTGACGTCGAGGCTTCTCGAACTCTACAGTATTCGGCCAGACCTAAGGAACGATACATCAAGAACGGAGCCCCTTTTTCCCCAAGTGAGTCTAGGAAGTCCGAAGGAACACCAGGGGGACCTCGCCGCCGAAAAGGTAGCGGAGCGCGTGCAAACCAACGGTGGGTTCTTGTGGTGCCGTCGAGGCTTCTTGGACTCTATACCTAGGCCTCCTAGATGGGGTCGGAGCAGATGGGGTCGGAGGATCGCGCCGCATCACCGATGCATCGGCGATGCATCGGCGATGCGGCTCGATGTGGGGCCCAATTTTCTCCACGCCGACGTCGCCGATGCACCGCCGACGTCACCAGTGAATGGACGATGCATCGCCGTTGCATCGGCGATGCATCGCCGATGTATCGGCGATGCGGCGTGATCTTCCGACCCCATCTACTCGGACCCCATCCAGGAGGCCTCCTACTATACCTTTCACGACTCAGGATTCGCTTTATCGCTTGTGCCACTCCCTATCTCGCGATCTGGGTATGTAGGGCACCCGCGATGTGCATGATGCGTCAATGTTAGAACGCACGGTCGCGAGGTCGTCGATTTCTCAATCAGTTTATCCCAGGCGGCTACAGGATCTTACACCACAATGCTACAGTTTGGTCGTCATGGTCTACTCGAATCCGACCTGTGCCATCGGAGCACGACAGTGTCAAATGGGGGTGACTTTGCGATGTTGTGACAGCGCCATAATGACAACCAGTTGACACGAGCGTCCACGGTTTGGTGCGTATAGATTTATGATGTGACGTCTTCAGCATTTTTTGGTCCAAAGAGAGCGCAGTTGTTCTGTCGGAGTTCTTGGTCCCGTGTTCCATGTCACGTTACGTCCGAAAGGAAGACAGCTCATAGGGGAATCGTCAGCGTATTGTGCCGACCAGCGGCTGTGTTATTGTAGCGTCCGCCACAGGCACTTGATGAAGCGCAAGACGGACCCCGAGAGAGCTCTGAAGGATAGTTTCTGCAATATCATTTGGGAATATGAGTGCAGGCGGCGATAGGGAGAGAAGGCGAAACCGACTAAAGGGAGAGAATGAAGGGGTGGGGGCTGGAGCGGCCTCGCTGTTCGCAAGCGAGCAGTGCCGCCCCCCCTCCTCGTCCGTTACTCCGCCCCCCTCCATCCTGGATCAAGCCCCCTCCTCCCTCCCCATCCATCTCGGTCCCTGCGTCTAGTGGCTTACGGGCTGGTCGGTTCGCGCTCCGGGCACCTCTCCCTCGTGGCCTCTTCTCGCCCCTCCTCCCCCCTCGCTTCCTGGACCTGCTCTTTCGGAGGCAGGCCAGTCTCGAAGAACACTCTCCGGAAGTGCACCTTTGTGTGTGTTCTGTGCAGTTCTCGAGATGGTGCACAATCATACACACGCATTTTCGGAGGTCCGCGCGGATTCTGTGGGCCTGCGCTGAACCCCCTTATTGCCCACCAAACCAACCCAGCCCAACCCGAAGGCCCAAAATTGTGGTGGGGCATCCTGGAACATTCCCACCAGCACAGATGGAAGCCGTGCGCCCCCCACAGAAATCTGGGGCTTCGGGTTGGGTTGGGGCGGTCTGGTTGGTGGGTTGCCCCCCCCCCATCCCCCCTCCACCAGCACCGGGGGGTGACGTCAGAGGAGCCACCAGGAATGGGTCGAGCGCCGACCCGAGAGACTCCCGCGGCCCTCCGAGAGCTTAAGTCTGCTGCCTCCCACATTCCGGCCTCAGGGGCAGCGTCGGTGGGGGGAAGTCTCAGGGGGGCATGCCCCCCATCGCCCCTTCGCCGCCGATGGGGGCCTGATGTCAACGAGCGCGTTCCACTACTCGCAAAGTGCCTACTCGCAAACGTTCGAACAACACACGTCTGCTTCGATGTAATGTGTCGTAGATCCCCCGCGGCGGATCCAGGCCATCTGCGAGTGGCTACTCCGCGAGTAGTGGAGCGTGCTTATCTAAAGTTAAGTCGGGCCTGTCCTCCTACAGGGGGATTTTCGACGAGAAAAAAAATACCCCGAAAATAGTCCAAAAATAGTCTGGGGACTATTTTCTAGGTAATGTTTGACCTTTCGGGGGTATTTGTTTTTGCATTTTTGGGGTATTTTTTTTCGTCGAAAATCCCCCCTGCAGGGGGACACGCCCGACATAAATCTAAGGGTGGCATGCCCCCAACCGCCCCGTCGCCGCCGACGGGGGCCCGCCGGCCCGCCCCGCCCCGGGGCCCGTCGGGTTGGTTCGCCGTCGGGGGCCTCCCGCCGATCTCTCGGCCGCGCGCCGTCGACTCGCGAGCTCTCGCCGCCGACAGCCGCCGCCCCAGCAAGGCCGGCGCTCCCGCGCGGGACTGGCTCCCGTTTTGCGCTGGGCTGGCGCGCTGCTCTGGCTCGCATCGGCGCCGCCCCCGGCAGCAACAGCGCTCCCGCTCGGGACGTCCTTCCTGTTTTTCACTCGAGGCGGTCGACGGTTCCCCCCCCCCCCCGGGCAGGCCCGTCCCCACCCCACCCAAAACGCTCGCACACCTCTCGCGTCAGGGCCCCCTCCCCCCCCAGAGGGAAGGACGAGGGGAGCACGGAGGCGGACGGAGGCGGACGAGAAGGAAGAGAGGAGGAGAGGAGTGTTGGAGAAGTTGAGGGTGAGGAGGAGGAGGAGAAGTTGAGGGTGAGGAGGAGGAGGAGGAGGAGGAGGAGGAGGAGGAGGAGGAGAGGAGGAGGAGGAGGAGGAGGAGGAGGAGGAGGGAGAGGAGGAGGAGGAGGAGGAGGAGGAGGAGGGGGAGGGAGAAGGAGGAGGAGGAGGCGGAGCCGGCGCTGCCCGTCGCCTCCCCCCACCGGAGGGCCCCGCGCCCGAGGAGCTGCCCGTGCTGCTCCGCTCCATGTCGGAGAGCACCGCGAACCAGGCGGGGCGCCGCGGGCGCGCCCCCGGGCGGCGCGGCGGGGAGGTCCGCGGCCGGACGGCGTCCTGGAGCCCTCACGTCGTGGCTGGTCGGGGCCTAAGAGACGAGGCCTCCTATAGAGGGGGTCCCCGTAGATGGGATCGGAGGATCGCGCCGCACTGCTGATGCATCGGCAATGCGACTCGATGCGGAGCCCGATTCTTGCCGCGCCCACGGCGGCGATGCATCCGCGACGTCGCCGATGCGGCGCGCTCCTCCGACCCCGCCTGCCCGGACCCCATGTGGGAGGCCTCCATCGGGGCTCGGGAGACGGGGGTCAGTGCAAACGGGGGTCAGCCAGGGCACCGGATCCTGCGAAGACCCCTTTTGGGCCGACCCGGGGTCAGCGAGCCGCTCGTGGCCGCGAGGCGGCCGCGCATACAGTCAACGCGCATAAGAAGGACAAACGACTTTTTCAAGGGTACCCTTGGGTCCTTGCCTGCCTCAGCCTCTGCGGCCCGTCCCTAGCAATTTTCGCAGGCCAGTTTCTCAGGTTCCCTGGGGGTTTGGCCGCCTGCCGCCCAAAATACTTCAACTTCGGCCTCCAAGGGTCTTGCGTCCATACTACGCGTCCTTACTATACGTTTTCACTGTATTGGCTGACCCGGGTTTGCGAAGGCCTGCGCCGCAGTGTTTTGTCCCTTGCACTGCAGAGGATCCCCGTGTCAGTGCAGCTCAGCATCGTTTGATTCGATGGCAAATCATGGGAGCCTGGTGTACCCTTTTTGATTCCGTCTCTAGCGTCGATGAGCGTTGATCAGCGTCTGGAGTCGATGAGACAGCGCCGAATTAGCGTCGGTTATTGTCGATTAGCGTCGATTCAGCGTCGATTGGGGTCGATTTAGAGTCGACTGACGCCGATTCGCTAGAGCCGACAAGATGGCATGAGATGCTCCCATGAGTTGCCACCGAAGTTCGACCGATCCTAGGGGGGCAAATCGGCCAGTGGGGTTCCAGGCCATGCCAGCGGGGACAGGGATCGGTTAAACGATGCTCAAGAACCAAGACGCCGAAATAAGGCGCGGTTAGGGTCTGGAAGGGTCTCGATGATCCTCAGGTCCTCCCATGGCTGTTCCTGTAGCCCTCCTCGTGCACGCGATTGCTCTGAGGGCCCAGAGGTGGCCTGGCTCCGCACTTGTCGCTCCTCTCTGGCAGCAGCCCGTCGGCACCTCAAAGAGGGAGACGCTGCACTCCATTCTGCCCGACAGCAGCGGGAATGCAAACCTGCGGGGACCCAACATATACACCACCACCAACACCACCACCACCACCACCACCACCAGCACCATCAGCAGCAGCACCACCACCACCACCACCACCACCACCACCACCACCACCACCACCACCACCACCACCACCACCCCCTCCCCAACCCCAGGGAAGAGGAGAAGAGGAGGAGGGTAGAGGAGGAAGGAGGACTGGAGGTGGTGGCGGTGCACCTCCTGGGGGCCCGCGAAGCCGCCAACTCTTGGTGCTGTGCTGTACCTCCTGCTGCTCGACGATCGGCGGCTGGGCTTGCCCCGCTCTGCCCGCTGGACTGCGTGTGCGATCTGCGTGCCGCGCACTATCTGCGACGCTCGCCCTGTGCTGCGGAGCCGCCGAGCCGACCTTCGGGTCACCGCCACGCTGCGCGGCCCAGCCCTTGGCAGGGCACGGTGCCCGCACCTGCGCGACGCAAGAAGAAAACGGGCTCGTCTGCGCCGGCATCGGCGCGGAAGCTGCCCGCGCGAGGTCGCGCGTGGGCGCCCTCGCCTCAGGTGCAGCGTGGCGCGCTGGCTGCGCGCGTGAGCCGCCGCGCAGGGTCGCTGCGTCATCTCGCGCGAGGCCCGTGCTGGTCGTCGCAGCATGCACGGCGCAATGGGGCGCGGCGCGCAGCTCGCGCGAGCAACGCATCGACAGGGGGCGGCAAGTGCATTCGCGGGGGGCGGGATGCCGCGACAGCAACGTCGGAGCCATCCACGTCGCTTCACGCCGATGTCGACAAAGATGCTATGCAACCAAGGGGTCGGGTCAGGCGGGGCCCGCGCAGTAACTTGAGTTTCCCATCGCTGTCCATCACTGTCCTCGTCTTCTCCATTTAACGTGCCGGCGTTCCTGTGGCCACGCCTCGACTGGATGTCGAAGCAGGGGCGCCGACAGTATTGGGTCAGAGACTTCGGTGGACCTCTCGTGGCCATTCTGGGCTGTCTCGGGCCTCTTTCGGGGAAGCTGGGCGCCCTGCCGGGACCTTGGGCGCGGAACTTCGGATGTGTCCTCCCTTCGCCTCATATCCGTTCATCGTCCTCTTCCATCTCCCTCTCCTCCTCTGCCTCCCTTCCCCCTTCAGACTCGAACGCGCGGCAGCGTGGAGTTGCGCGCGGAATGTGCAGACGCGATTTCAGGATGCACATGCGCACGGCGGGCATCTTCGCCAGAATCATAGCCAATCGAGAAAAGACTCGCAGCCTCTCGTGCATCATGTTCTTGCCCAGACCGGCAGTCCCATGTGCACCGAGGATCCTGACATGCAAAGCGTCATCGCCCACCGGTACGGGTCGCCCAAAAACGCTTGCCGGAGGCCCCCGCGGGGCCGTGCAAAAGAATATGGGTGTGGTGGTGGTTATGGTTATTGTTCTGGTTCGGGTTTTGGTATCGGTTCTGGTTCCGGTTCTGGTTGCGGTTAAGGTTTCGGTTCCGGTTCCGGTTTTGCGTATGGTTCTGGTTACCTTCTTCTTCTTGAGGGTCCTGAAGAAGACCCCCTTGGACACCGTTCCAGTTCTGGTTTTCGTTCCGGATTCTTTTTTAGACTTGGGAAAAGAGCGTCTGGTTCTGGTTCTGGTTCGGGTTCCAGGTCCAGTTCTTCAGCTTCGAAAAAAGACCCCCCAGGGCACGGTTCAGGTTGCGGTTCCTGTTCTGGTTTTGGTTTCGCTTTTTTTCTAGCCTCGAAGAGGACCCTCCAGGTCACGTTCTGGTTTGGGTTCCGCTTCGGGTTTCTTTCTTCTTCCCGCCCTGAAGAAGATCCCCCAGGTCACGCTTCCAGTTCTGGATTTTGTTCCGCTTCGGTTTTCCCTCTTCTTCCGGCCCTGAAGAAGACCCCTCAGGTCACGGTTCTGGTTCGGGTTCGTTTTTGTTTCTAGTCCAGAATGTAATAATCTGCGGGCTTGCCAGAGGAAAGGCGCTTAGCTCTTATAACTGGTTGCACTCCATGCATGTACTGGTGGTGCCCAACTTAGTAAATGTTGGTATTTACTGAATGCTTTATCTTAAGATCAATTAGCACACCATAAGTACTTGCTAAGTGCTTCGGAGTACTTGCCAACATGCACTACGCGACCAAGTATGCTATGGTTCGCATATATTAAAAACGGTCGGTTGCATCGGACACAACGATCTGTTAGTGCGAGAGCATGTGTTTCAATCATATGTGGGCATATAAGCCATGTGATTGCAACCAAATGTGTGCTTTTACTGTTTAGCATCAAAAACACATAGTGTGCAGAAGACACGGCTAGGATGTACCAAACACAGAGTCTTGATATTGTTGAGCCACAATCTTGATGCATAGCCGCACCTCTTTTTTTTTCTGGGCACGGTGCGCTGGTGTATACTAGAATGCAATGGTTGCACGTTGTTTGGCTGGCCTGAACTTTGATCCACCCCCGGTGGGCTCTGTATGTCGGGTCCCGATCCCGCTATATAGATTCCTCCCCTTGACCTGACCTTACAATTTCACAATTCTTGCGTCGGTTCCTTCAGCCCTATAGACCGTAATACCGTATGACCCTATGTTGCCCTGAGACCCAGATTTCAGGCCCCATGCATCCTGAGACCCGAGACTTTGGACCCTGAGACTCAACGGCAACCATACCAGCAGAAGGCCCCGAGACCCAACCATCACGAGGCCCCGAGTTCCGAGCTCCCCCATTCGACAACGATTTCGTCCGATTCCACCCGAATCGATGTTGATTTCCCAGCGAACCGACGCGGCCCGAGGCTTGCATGGCGCTGCTGTGCATCCTGGCGCAGCCGATCCGGTTCGATTCCGATTCCGTGCCGATCCAGCCCGATCCGACCGACATGCCGGTTCGATCCGATGTCCCGATTCGATGTTGGTCGACCTTGCCCCTGCGCGGACGACGCGGTGCGTGGGGGTGGCGCCGCGTGGCGCCCCCCTCTCGAGGAGGACCGTCCGAGGACCTCCCCGAAGGCTCTGCGGGGGGGGGAGGCGCCAGGGCAGCCGCGGGGGCGCCGCCCTGGTGCGAGGAGTCGCAGGCATGGGATGCAGGCTCGCGTCGATCAGCGACGGGTTTCGTTTCCATGCAAATTCGGTGCGTTTCGCCGGCAAGTCAGGCGGCATCGGCGCCATGTTTCATCCAGGGCAGAAGAGGCCCCTAACCTTCACAGCGCAGTGAAGAAGAAGAAGAAGAAGAAGAAGACGCCGTGTGTCCAGAAGGCACGTGAGCAATACTCTTATTCAGCCACATCCGCAGCCTCGAGGTGAGGCAAGGCGGGCCGAAAACGAGGAGCGAGAGGGAAAGGAGAGAGGAGGCGGAGGGAGGGGACGAGGAGCGGAGGGAGACGGAGAAGAAGGAGCCAGGACGGCGGACTGGCGAGAGCCAGAAGCAGCGACACATCAGCGGGACTGGTTGTAGTTCCGCGCTGCTAGCCTAATTTAGGTCCTCGCCTTTGCACTCGGGATACTCAATCTGGGTGGTTTAGTCTAATACATCGGCTGGAAGGGCACCTTTATCCCTAGTGTTTTGGGCCTCTTAACTTAGGTCCGCTCCTCAAGGGTTAGGGGCCCCTTAATTGTTAATACATGTTTCGCCCTGTTTCGTGGATCTGGCGCCCACGCGTGAGATCCACAGATTCCTGATCCATGGTAGCGCGTGCCCGACTGATGTCTATGTTCAACACGTGCCCGATTGGTGGTCTGGTATGTCCTGCACGCCTTCGTTTCGGCACGGTCACTGCTGAGCCTGGGGCAAGACATTTGCTTTGGCCGTCCCCAAGCGGATTCTTGACACCAGTTGTACACAATGTGTCAGCAGCAGTTGGGGTCGCGCTGGGCTGATTCTCATCAGAAGAACATCGGCCGGCTTCTTGGGGCCCCGTGATAGAGGCGGTTGGTGGCGGGCGTGGGGTCGTGGCGCGAGCCTGGAAGGCCTACTGCGCATGCTCCGAAGAGGTCTTTTGGGCCCGTCCTGGGGCCACCTGAGCCTCCTGGGCGGGGGGGGGAACTAGAAAAGGGGAGGGGCAGAGGGGAACGGGCAGGTGGAGCGGTGGGCGGCGCGGGGGATGGGCCGTTGACCCTCCTGCGTCCCCGCTCCTTCCCCCCCCCCCTCTTGCCGCCCGGCTCCTCCCCGCCTCCCTCCCCTGCCCCCGCCCCGCCTCCCTCGAGGGAGGGGCAGCGGAGGCGCAGAAGGCCGCGGAGGCGAAGCGGGCCGAGGAGAAGCGGGCCGAGGAGAAGAAGGCCGCCGACGAGAGGGCCTCTGGGGAGCCGACGGAGGCGGTGCCAGCGGCCTCCGAGGAGGGGGCTGCCTCCCAGGAGCCGGCAGAGCCAGCCCCGGCGGCTGGCACCGGGGAGGACGCCAAGAGACCGGCGGAGGCACCGCCGGCGCCCGCCGGGGAGGAGGGCCCCAGGGAGCCGACGGAGGCGCTGCCGGCGGTTGCCGAGGTGGAGGACTTCGGGGCTCGAGAGACGGGGTCCGTGCAAGCGGGTGTCAGCCAGAGCGCCGGGCCTTGCAGGGTCCTGCTGGGTCTCGCAGGATCTTGCGAGGCCCGACGGGCCCGGGCTTGCGCCGACCCGGGTCGGTGCGTCCCGGAGGACTCCAAGGAGCCGGCGGAGGCGCTGCGGTCGGCGCAGGATCCGCAGCTGGAGGCTGCCAGAGCCGACGCCCCACTCTCTTTCCCGCCCCCCCCCCATTTGCCGCCAGCAGCAGCTAGGGAAGGAGGGCTTCGGAGGCACGGCGGGAGGGATGGTGGATCGAAGGAGGGGGAAGAAAAATAAGAAACGGGGGGAGGAAGAAGGGGTGGAGAGGGAACGGAAGGGCTTGAGGGCAGGAGAATGCAGGACAAGCGGCGATGTTCATTTATCGCGTTGCACACGTGGAGGCAAGTTTGCTAGAGCCTAAGCGCGCGCGAAACGCGTGCATAGGTTCTATGTACATATATTAAAAACTGTATAAATGAACATAAGATTACATGTGGCCACCCCACCATCTCACTTCTTCTCTCCGTTTCTTTTATACACTGAGGCGGCCAGATATTGGTTGGGGATCGTGCGTGATGACCGTGGCTTAAGGATGATTGCACCACCTCGTCCTAGACTAGGCGCCGCACTCACTGCTCAGCTGGGGCGTCTACTAACTCTTGCCCCATGTCCCTCGCAGTTGACCGTCCCCACGGAGGCAACCTATCTTGATCTACTCTGTCTTTGCTGTATGTTTCTATCCCCATGTTCGGTGGGCCTTCATTGTGCATTGCAAGCACCGTCTCAGCATATGTTTACACCAGTGGTCGACTGCGATGTTGCCCTTCTTGAGTCCGATTCCTAGTCCTTCTTGGTCCTCCATGTTGTCAGCCCTTCTCTCATATTCGTGCCATCGGCAGGGATCAGTTAGGCGACTTTGGGAAATTAGATTTTGCGACCAGACACAGGACAGCATCGTGCTTCCTTCAACGAGGTGATCGTTCTTCGGCTCCCCGCAGCGCTTCGACTTCTCCTCTTCGCTCTCCTCGTTCTTTCTCCCTCCTCCCCTCGTTTACTCGAGAGGCTGATGCAACTGCGCCGACTCCCCGCAGAGGAGATGTGCGGCTTCCGATGCTGTGCGTGTTGTGTGCCGTTTCCCGTCGTGCCGGCTGCGTATTGCTGCTGCTGGCTCGCCCTCTTCTCCTCGTCTGTTGCGGGGCTTTTGGGAGGTCTCTTGGAGTCCTGGGTGGCGGCCTCATGGAACCTTTTCGCGGCTCCTGGAGCTTTTGGGTGCCCTTCGGGGGCTTCGTGGGGGCGTCTTGGGGCATGCTTGATGTCCAGCGGGCCATCTTGTGTGGGGGGGGGGGGGCATCCCTGTGAGTCCCTGCGAGTTCCTCCTCTTGGGGCCATCTTGAAGGCCTTTGGAAGTCTTGGGGGCCTCCTGGGCCGCCGTCTCAGGGTCATCTCAGGCTGTTTCCGGGCCGTCTTGGGCCGGTCTGAGGGGTGCTTCTCGGGCCGTCTTGGATCCCCACAGGCCCGAAACGTCGAGGACTCGAACACCCTTCAACGGCATGTTGAAAGTCCATGTTTTTGCTTACTAAAGGCCCTCTGAGGGTTTCTCTTGGGGCCCTCCCAGAGCCTCTCGGGCCTCTGGGGGGCCATAATTATTCGGGCGAGCCCGCGCAGCCTGATGTCCCCACAAGGGGGCCCGCGGATTCGGTGAATCCGTAACGTCCCTTACGGGGGCTCTGCCCCCCCCCCCTCCCCACTCCTCCCCGAAATGGTGCCGAAAGTACGCGGGGGGCAGTGCCCGTTACCCAACAGGCGTGGCGCGGTGTTCTCAGGCATGTTGTGGTGCTGACAGGCATGCCTTGGTGCTCCCAAGCATGCTGCGGCGCTCGCAGGCCCGACACCCCCTCCAATCCCCTCCGTATCGGACGCTACGGGGCAGCAGCAGCAGAGTCTCCACGCGGTTTGCCTGGTTTCGCGACGGGGCCCTGGCTGACCCAGGTTTGCGCTGACCCGGGCTGCAGTCGGGGCGCGGAAGAAAGAGCCCTTTTCGTTTGGGAGGGGCTCTGTGCTCCTCAGTTGTTTTACGGTTTGTCCTGGATTGCCCTCGAGGTTTTCCACGGGCACCGAAGCCTAACTCCTGGAAGGAAAGGGGCCTCGTCCCTTATCTAGGGCACCTTCTGACAGCGCTTCGACTGCAGTGAGTTCGACTTCTGGCAAAACAGTGGCCTCGTTCCTTACTTTAGGGTCCCTTGGGTCAACGTCCCAACTGCAGCGTGTTCCCGAAGAACCTGCAAGCAGAGGGGGGGGGGGGAAGGCCGCGGCGGAGCGAGATGGCTCAGGAGGGGAAAAAACACGGACACAATGAATCGTCAATTCCCCCAGAACATATGGGAAGACATGGGCAGTGGGGGGGGGAAAACAGGAACCCAGAACATCTGGGGAAAATATGGGATATTCCTTTTGATTTGTGCGTATTTATTGTAATGGCCTCCGGCCAGTGCCGCCGATCTGGGGCGCTCCCGATGCGTGTGGGAACGGACGACGACGACGACGACGACGACGACGACGACGACGACGACGACGACGACGACGACGACGACGACGACGACGACGACGACGACCGACGACCGGGTCCACGACGGACGATGATGACGACGACGTCCCTCCCCCCCCCGCTGCCCCTGTGTGTATTTCTTTGCGTGTCCCAGGGCCCCTTCGCTGGCGGGGAGGCGGGGCCGCCAGGCGCCGGGCCCGCCGCCGCCGGAGGGGCAGAGCCGCTGAGCCGCTGCCCCGTGGGCACCGCGGGGCGCCGGTTGCCGGTGCGGCCCGCGCGCGGGGCAGCAGGGCAGGGCTCCCGGGGTGGTGTGCGAGGGCAGGCGGCCCGCCCAGCAGAAGGGTGTGTCGGGCTGTGTCCCCCCTTACAGGGGGACGTTCGACGAAGAGTAGAACATACTGCAACAAAAATCCCCCAAGAATGCCCCCAAAAAAGATTTTTCGAGGAAGAATAGGAAGTACCCCCCAGAATACCCCCAAGAACAGGCCCCGAAGAAGGAACCCACACAGTACAGTCGGGGCCCTGAAGAAGGAACCCTTTTCGTTGGGGAGGGGCTCCGTGTTCCTTAAATTGTTCCGCAGCTTGGCTTGGACTTTCCGTAGGTTTTCGATAGGAAATCGAAGTTCAACTTATGGAAAATAGGGGCCTCGTTCCTTATTTAGGGTTCCTTAGGTCAACGCCTCGACTGTAGAAAGTCGTGTCGGGCGGTGTCCCTCCTACAGGGGGACGTTCGACGAATAATAGGTTAATACCCCTCAAACAAAACCCCAGCAGGCCCAAAAGTATTCAAAAACTTGTCCCCCAGACTACTTTTGGATTATTTGTCGAGCATTCTTTTGTAATAAACAAATGGTCGAACATTTTTTTTATAATAAAAAAGATCGTCGAAAATCCCCCTGTAGGGGGACACGCCCGACAGAAGTAGAAAGGCCAGTCCCGACGCCCATCCCCGAGCCGGCGGTTCAAGGGGTCGGGACCGGGGGCGGGGAGGGTGTTCTCCATTCCTGGACCCCGAAAACCCACCCCCCATCCCCAGTCCCGACTCCTTGAATCGCAGGCTCGGGGATGGGGTCGGGACTGGGGGTGGGCGTGGGTTGTCGCCTTCTCATAGTAAGGATGGGCAGCCTTCCCAAGGGTACCCCTTGCATCCTTGCCTCCTCGGCTCCCTGGCCACCATCGTCGCCCGCGCCCCGCTCGAGGAGCTTCGACGTGGCCCTCCAGGGCCTTGGCATCCTTCTCGCGCAGCCTTTCTATACGGGCTCACTGTAGATCGGAAAGTGGAACATATACATTACCAGTGGCGTGCTGTTCTTCAGTCCCTGGACTTTTGGAGGGTCATGGACGACGTCGAGGTGGTGTGGTGTGTAGTTGTGTCCCTGTTATCCTGGGGAGATGACGAAGATGTAGACGCCAGCATCCCGTATACACCAGGATCCGCTTTCCTGTGCGAGTTCCAGCGCAGGGCCGGAAAACGCGTCGGTGTATAAGTATAGAGCTGGGTTCCCTGGCCGACGGGCCGTGGGCCACGGCGAGGGGGGGGGGCGCGAAGCTCGTCGCGCCTCGCGGGCGGCACGCTGCCGGAGCGAGGCTCGAGCCCCTCGTCCTGGCCCCGGGGGGGGGGTGGGGGAGGGAGCGGCGCGAGAGCGCGAAGGTCTGTAGAGCCGCGCTGCGCGCTCCGCGGAGCGCGAGGCGCGCAGGCCGCTGCCCCAAGGGGGGACGGGGGTCCCTGACCTTCCAGAGTGTTCCTCCGCCTCCCCCTCCTCCTCCTCCTCCTCCTCCTCCTCCTCCTCCTCCTCCTCCTCCTCCTCCTCCTCCTCCTCCTCCTCCTCCTCCTCCGTCCGCCTCCTCTTCCTCCTTGCCACATTTCCTCTTCCACCTCCTCCCACTGTCGTCGTCGCTGTCGGCATCGGAATCCAGGGCCGATCTCCTAAAAAAAGAGCCCTCCAGACCTATAGATCTGCCTGGACTGCCTCAAACCTCGACAGGAACTGGGGCGTCGACGTCCTGGTGCTGTTTTTTTTGGCCCTCCTGGAAGGTCAGGGTTCGGAGGACCGCGCCGCCTCGCCGCCACCTCGCCGGTGTGGCTCGATGCGGGGCCGGGTTCTCCACGCCGACGTCGCCGATGCATCGATGATGCATCGACGAGGCGGCGCGATCCCCAGGACCCATCTGCTCTGACCCACTGGGAGGCCTCCAGTCCAGATGCCGGCACCGCTACCCCTTGACCCCGATGGGCAAGGTCCTGCACCGTGCACGTTGGTTTTTGTGGGACACCCCCCGCGCCCCCAATGTGCCAATGTAACATCGGTGGGTTGCTCTGCGATGTGTCGATTTGTCGGCTGGCCGAGATCCTGCGCCTCGTTGGCGATACCAACCGACATTGAATCGAGGGCAGGGGGGGGCGCGGTGAAGTTTGCCCCGGTAGCCAGGACTCGCGGTTGGCGCAGGATTTTGTCCATCAATCATCCCTCGTCATCATGGCCAGAGTCGCTTCGAAATCCTGGTCAAAGCGCACGCCAGGAGGTCTGGGGGATGTCGGTATCGGTATCTTTTCGCTTCCCCTCGGTGCTGCGGGCAGTCGGAGCGGCTGCGAACGAGGAAGTGCAGAGGAAGCAGGGACGGGCGGGAGCATGGCGGGTGAGGGTGAGTAGTCTGCGGACCGACATGCCTGGCGACCGAATAGTCAGTGAGCGGGGAAGGGCAGGCATCTGACACAGCGGGAGTGGCGGGCGCTTCTTATTTGGCATCCCCGCGTTTCTGCGCCAGCGGACGGGGGAGGGGTGGCCAAAAAGCATTGCGTGAACATATTTGGGGAACCGAAAACTGACATAAACATAAAAATTCTGAGGTCCGCGCGGATTTCTTGGATCCGCGCTGGACCCCCCTCCCTGGCGCGCGGAGCGCGCCAGGGGCGGCGCCGGAGGCGCCGCCAGGGGGGTCCAGCGCGGATCAGGAATCCGCGCGGCCCTCCGAGTTGTTATGTGTATGTCACTTTTTATTCCCCCAATATTGCGAAGGCCTGACGGCCGGTGCCGCCGACCCTGTTCGCAATGCGCAGCAAGAGATTACGAGGTTGCTCAAGGTCGGCTTGGCTGGAGCCCAGGGGAAGAGGAGTCCCAGGGGGGGGCGTCGTATCTGACCCGGGGGGGGGGTCGCTACCCCCCCCCCCCTCCCGGCGGGGGAGGGATCAAAGGGAAGGGGCTTCCCTTCGACTCAATTACGAGGTTGCTCAAGGTCGGCTTGGCTGGAGCCCAGGGGAAGAGGAGTCCCAGGGGGGGGCGTCGTATCTGACCCCGGGGGGGGGGTCGACACCCCCCCCCCCCCTCCCGGCGGGGGAGGGATCAAAGGGAAGGGGCTTCCCTTCGACTCAATTACGAGGTTGCTCAAGGTCGGCTTGGCTGGAGCCCAGGGGAAGAGGAGTCCCAGGGGGGGGCGTCGTATCTGACCCGGGGGGGGGGTCGACACCCCCCCCCCCCTCCCGGCGGGGGAGGGATCAAAGGGAAGGGGCTTCCCTTCGACTCAATTACGAGGTTGCTCAAGGTCGGCTTGGCTGGAGCCCAGGGGAAGAGGAGTCCCAGGGGGGGGCGTCGTATCTGACCCGGGGGGGGGGTCGACACCCCCCCCCCCCTCCCGGCGGGGGAGGGATCAAAGGGAAGGGGCTTCCCTTCGACTCAATTACGAGGTTGCTCAAGGTCGGCTTGGCTGGAGCCCAGGGGAAGAGGAGTCCCAGGGGGGGGCGTCGTATCTGACCCGGGGGGGGGGTCGACACCCCCCCCCCCCTCCCGGCGGGGGAGGGATCAAAGGGAAGGGGCTTCCCTTCGACTCAATTACGAGGTTGCTCAAGGTCGGCTTGGCTGGAGCCCAGGGGAAGAGGAGTCCCAGGGGGGGCGTCGTATCTGACCCGGGGGGGGGGTCGACACCCCCCCCCCCTCCCGGCGGGGGAGGGATCAAAGGGAAGGGGCTTCCCTTCGACTCGATTGTTGCTCAAGGTCGGCTTGGCTGGAGCCCAGGGGAAGAGGAGTCCCAGGGGGGGGCGTCGTATCTGACCCGGGGGGGGGGTCGACACCCCCCCCCCCCTCCCGGCGGGGGAGGGATCAAAGGGAAGGGGCTTCCCTTCGACTCAATTACGAGGTTGCTCAAGGTCGGCTTGGCTGGAGCCCAGGGGAAGAGGTCTCCCAGGGAAAGGGAAGGACAGAGACGACGAGTACAAAGAATGACGGAGATGACGGCTCGAACGGAAAACCCCCTCACACACGCCGACAGGGTCGGCGGATTTTCTGGAGGTCCGTGCGCATGGCTTGGGTCGGCCCTGGGCTCTCCCCCCGCATCCCTGCGCTGGCACGTGAAGTGCGTCCAGGGGCGGCGCCGAAGTCACCGCCAGGGGTGGCTACCGGGGACCTCCGAGAGTTCTGTCAGCGCTGTGTCTTTAGATTTGTGGCAGGCAGGGAAGAGCAGGAAGAGGAGGAGGACATCAGATTGGACAATGCGCTGCGCCGAACTGCAAAAACATGCGCTTTCGAAGCTCCGCGCTGATGTCTTGGCATCTGCGCTGGGCCCCCCCCTGGCGACGCCTCCGGCGCCGCTTCTGGCGCGCTCAGCGCGCCAGAGTGGGGGGGTCTTAGCGCCGATCCCAAGACACACGCGTGGAGCTCCGACAGTTTATGCCCACGCAGTCCTTGCGTGAGCCTTGGCATCGCTCGGACGTGTGGATTTTTCCCTCGGTGAGGACCATCGAGGAGCATCCTGGACCATCCTGCGAAAAGACCACGCACGAAACCGACAAAAAGCACAGGGGATGGACGTCCGAGCGCTGGCCGGGAGCACGCCAAATCAAGGGTACCTTTTTGTGTCCTGTGCCTCGCGGCCCGTGCCTCCTGCATTCCTATGGCAATGTGGCCCCGGAAGGGTCTTGTGTCCGCTCGCGTGCCCTGTCCAATGAAGTCCGACTGTATTAGGGGAACCGAAAACTGACATAAACATAAAAACTCTGAGGTCCGCGCGGATTTCTCGGATCGGCACTGGACCCCCCTCCCTGGCGCGCGGATCGCGCCAGGGGCGGCGCCGGAGGCGCCGCCGGGGGGCCCCAGCGCCGATCCGAGAAATCCGCGCGGACCTCCGAGTTTTTATGTTTATGCCACTTTTTGTTCCCCTATGTATGCCCATGCAGTCCTTGCGTGAGCACGCCGACTTCTCTGGCCGGCTCTGCGTGGCCTGGGGCCCGGCCCGCCTCCAGAGGCGCCTCCACGAGTGGGCCGGGCCCCCCCTCCGCGTGCGGGCCCTGCTGGGCCTGCTTCCCACCACCAGCACCAGGAGTTTTGGAGGAGGAGGAGGAGCAGGAGGAGGAGGACGAGAAGGAGGAGGAGGAGGAGGAGGAGGAGGAGGAGAGGAGGAGGAGGAGGAGGGGGAGGGGGAGAGGGAGGGGAGGAGGAGGAGGGGGAGGGGGAGGGAGGGAAGGAGGAGGAGGAGGAGGAGGAGGAGGAGGAGGAGGAGGAGGAGGAGGAGGAGGAGGAGGAGGAGGAGGAGGAGGAGGAGGAGGAGGAGGAGGGGGAGGAGGAGGAGGAGGGAGGAGGAGGCCCCCTCCCACTTGTGGTGGTGGCGGCGGGAAGCAGGCCCACCCAGGCCCGGAGCTCGGGAGCCGAGCTGCCCGTCGTGCGGGGAGGGCAGCTTCCGAGAGCCCGCCGCGCTGCGCGCAGCCAGGCAGGACGGTCGCGTCTCGTGCCCCTCGTGGGCCCAGGGCCCACGAGGGGCACGAGAGGTGCGCCTCGTGGGGGGTGCGCCGTCGCGGGGAGCGAGAGCGCATGCTGGCTGCGCCACTGTGACCCTGCAGTTCGGTTTTCGCGTTCGGTCGGTTTCGGTCGGCTGATTCGGTTCTGCAGGCCCCCTTTCGGTTTCGATCGGTTTCGGTTTCGTCGTCGGTTCGGTCGGCTCTCGGTTTCTCGGCAACTCGTGGCCGCCCGGGGCCCTGGAAGCACGGCGGGGCCACTAGAATTATGGCGGGCCTGTCCCCCGACAGGGGGATTTTCGACGATTTTTTTTACAAAAAAAGGCTCCCAAAATAGTAAAAAAAAAGTCCAAAGATAGTCTGGGGACCTTTTTGTTAGTATTTTTCGGCCTTCCTGGGGCATTTTTAGGGTATGCTTTTATTTTTCGTCGAAAATCCCCCTGTAGGGGGACACGCCCGACATAAGACTAGAGCCACTTTTGTCGACGACTTGCCTCTCGACTTCAGTCGGGAGTGGCCCTCTACAGGAGGGAAATTCCAGAAGAGTGAGAGCCTAATGTGGGGGCGGTTATTCTATTACTTGTTGATGCTATTCTTGAATATGTTTGATTATCCTTCAGCTGTCGTCCAAAATCCGCCTGCAGGAGGACATGCCCGACCTAACTCTTCACAACGAAAACGGCAAACAACTGTTCACTGAAACGGCCTCGGGAGCCCGGGAATCCGAAGGACGTTCTGTACCGGTTCGACAACAGTTCGGATCCGGTGCAAGTAATGTGATTTGGACCAGGCCCCCACTGGGGGAAACGAATTCTTGCAAAACATCGGCGCCAGAAACGTCAGAACAACGGCGCCAGAAACTGTCACTTCCTGAACAAGTATAATAGCCAGCGTGGACCCCAAACAGTGTTTTCTTGCAACCTATCCCATGCGGCGCTGACGAGGTGGTGCAATCCATGTAGTGCAGTCTGCGCTTTGCAAAGCAATGTGACGCAATGCTAAGCCATGGCTAAACAATGCAAATCCATGTGATACAAGGCAAACTGGCACAAACACAGACCAAGCAGTGCGAACTAACGCGAAGCATTGCAAAGCAAGCGGCGACGAGACGGCGGGCGGCGATGAGGCGGCGACGGCGGCCACATGTCGGCAAGAACGGCCCGCAGGCCCAGGCGATGGGCGGCGACGAGGTGGCGACGGCGGCCACATGGCGGCCAGGGCTGCCCGCAGGCTCAGTTCCGTAGAGTAGACGCAAAAGCCCTGATTGCAAGCACTGTTTGGGGGAACAACGGTAAGAGAACTGCCCTGTCCAGGGCCCACCATCAAGGGAGGAGAAACCCCGACCCCCATCATCGGCGCTTACTGAACGTCTTTGGGCGTCTGCTAAAAAGCCCTGTCCTGTTCGATTCCTTCCCTGGGTGCGTTTACTAAACTGCTTCGCTTGTCGAGGTGCTTATTATCCGGAAGGGCTTCGCCCCCTGCCGCCGGCCCCCTCTCTATCATAATGGGATATAACAGAGTCGCGTCGGTGCGTCTCGGCGCTATGCGGGGGCGGATAGGAGTCATCAGCGCATATTGAAGCGTTGGCGTTATCAAAGACGCCTACGGCGAATCACCGCCGCCCCCTGCCCCTTTGGAAGCGCCTCTGTGGCCGACAGCTTGGCCAGAGCTTGGCCAAGCTATCGGGCCAGTTGTTCCCCGAGTCGGTTTGGAAAGACTTCGGGGAACGCGTGGTGGAGCAAGAAGAGGAGGAGGGTGAGGGTGAGGAAGGAGGAGGAGGAGGAGGAGGAGGAGGAGGAGGAGGCCTCTTGAGCGCCTCTTGGGGCACTCGTGGGGCCTCCTGGCCTCTTGGAGGGTTTTGGGGGGCCTCTGGGGGCTTCTTGGGGGCCTCTTTGGCCGTCTTAGGGCGTTCCTGGCTTGTCTGACGCTGTCGGAAGCCGTCTTGGGGGCCTGTCTGGGTCGTCTTGGGGCCCTCTTGGGGCATATCAGGGGTTCTTAGAGGCCATCTTGGGCGTCTTGGAGGCCTCTTGGGCCGTTTCGGGGCCCTCTGGGGCCGTCTTGGGGGCCTTGTGGGCTGTCATGGGGCCATCT